CTGTGTTTACTTACCTAAAGTACCCATTTTACTAAGTGAGATACTCTAAATACTGCACTGTGTTTACTAACATATAGTACCCATTGTAGTAAGTGAAGTACTCTAAATACTGCACTTTGTTTACTTACCTATTGTACCCATTCATTACAATATGAAAGTGACCTACTCTACTCTCAACACTCTGTTTACTTACCTATAGTACCCACTGCACTAAGTCACATGCTCTAATTACTGCATTTTGTTTACTTACCACTAGCACTCATTGCAGTATGAAAGTGACCTACTCTAGTCTCAACACTGTGTTTACTTACCTATAGTACCCACTGTACTAAGTGACATGCTCTAATTACTGCACTTTGTTTACAGTACCTATTGCACCAAGTGATCTACTATATACACTTTGTTTACTAATCTATAGTACCTATTGCACCAAGTGATCTACTATATACACTTTGTTTACTAATCTATAGTACCTATTGCACCAAGTGATCTACTATATACACTTTGTTTACTAATCTATAGTACCTATTGCACCAAGTGATCTACTATATACACTTTGTTTACTAATCTATAGTACCTATTGCACCAAGTGATCTACGCTATTTCTGACTTACACCTAATTCTTTACCAACCACTCATACGACCCGTATACCGTTGGTTTCTAGTAGACACAAGTAGCTCCTTGCCATTGCGGGCTGTTCTAACAGAGTGTACCTAACTTACAACGATACATACAAATAACCATCGCTGTGCTAATGTATAGATAGACTATACCCTACCCATGGAACATAAAACACCTGGTACTAAAATACTCCATTTAAATAGACTAACGCTTAAATGATATTAAATGATGAAAAAAAAGTGTACTTTAGTTTTAGTTTCGTCTGTCCATTTATACTTTTGTAACCTGAGTATTTTTTGGTTGAACGCTTTTGATTCAGGTGATAAAAATGGAATTATTAAGACCCATGAAAGCCCCAAATCCCCTTTAATGGTTTAACACGTCTTAGGTTTTCTTTCACTTTTTAAAATAAATCAAGATCGTAATGATGCGAAAACACACTTTTCGCCTTCGGTGTAATCTGACGGAATTTTGATTTTCCTCCCCTAACTCCAATAAAACGGGAGTAATCTTTGCCTGAGGATACTGGCTAGGGAAAATATTACCTGTAAATCTCTTGCTTACTCAGCGTTCTACGGAGCACGGGACCGGGAGGCTAAACGGTGTTCCCTGCGTCGGATTACCCAGCACCCCAGATAGGCCAGATCAATGTGTTGTGTGCTGTGCGTGTGGGGGAGACTTTAAATTTAGTAGCTTGTGTCAAGTAGAGTATCGTTTGCACCTGTGGCTTTCCACCCCCATACCATCCATCCACCTTTTCTCTTTTTTTTTCTCCTTTTATTTTTAAACCTCGTGATTGTTCTATTGGTTGCATTATTAAAAAAAAAACCAACCCGTTCCCGTTTTAAGACGGGTTGATTTATAGATAAAAGATAGTGTTAAGTATACAGTGCTGTCGAAGCATTTTAGGCTTAATATGAAGGATAGAAGCGCTGTGTTTTAGTAGGTCCATACAATATCGTTTTAAAGTTAGAAAAAATAATTGCCGGAAGGGTAAGTCTATCGATACAAAAAGAGTGTAATAACTTGAGTAGGGTTGAGACACATTACAAATGATGTGGACTTTCCCTGTTTGATGCATGTTGTCTGTCCTGTGCTGTCTATAACCTCGATACTATCTCTCTGTTGCATCTACTCCCCCCTCCCCCTCCGTCCATGATCCCATTCCATCTGATACTCTTCTCACGCCCGTTCTGAGTTTCTTCAATAATTTCCCTGCCCTACACTTTTACCAAGCCCCACCTCTACCCCCTTCTTATCACCACCTCTATATTTCCACCCCTCTATATCCTCGTCCCTGCCCTCTATATACCCATCCCCCATATCCCCTGCCCTCTATATTTCCACCTCTATATATCCATGCCCCTGCCCTCTATATTCCCACCCCTCTATATCATCATCCAGTCCTCTATATATCTATCCCCCATATCCCATGCCCTCTATATTTCCACCTCTCTATATCATCATCCAGTCAGTATATCCATCCCCATATCCCCTAGCCCACCGTATTTCCGCCTCTCCATATCCCCGACCATGCTCTCTACCCCCCCCCCCCTCTCCCACCCCCCCCCCCCCCCATGCATGTGTGAGCCTGCATGTTTGTCTCCAGCAGCATTTAGCCGGCCATTTCCCCGGCTCTGGTGCGCTAGTCCAGGGTACCTGCACCTCGTTAGGCCGTGGTTTAGCGCCGCAGCGAAGATAAACCTGCTCCTGTCTCTTGGGGGAAAACACGAATCTCTGTGCGAGCCCGACAATTAGTTTATTGTCTATTTGAAAGGATGATTTGATAACATGGTGATATCCCGCGCCACGCTGTGGGCTCGCTGATAGTTAGCGCCACGCAAGCAAGCCGTTCAGTTTTCTACGTTTAACTTTTACGCGCTACGTTTATTTTAAGCAAAGTCTATAAAATAATTCAAATAAAAAAAACATGGTGTTAAAACATGCTTGGCAATATTAATAAGAAAATTGTAGGGAATACAACTAAAGAGTTAAGAACAAGATTATTTCAGGAATATTAAAAGATCAAGTCTTTGACTGGTCTAGATATAATATATCGTTTCAAAAAGGGGATCACGACATTACCACACTCACCCCTCGTCAATTATCCCCCCCCCCTCCGGAGCAATTATCCCCTCCCCTCTGTCAATTACCCCCCTCCCCCCGCCCATTTATGGATACGTTAGGGTTGGGCTAAGGTTAGGGATATGATTAGGGTCAGGGCTAGAGCTAGTGTTAGGTTCAGGGTTAAATGTAGGTTTAAAGTTGGGGTTAGGGTTAGCTATAGGTTTGTTGTGTTTTGTGGTTAGGATTAGAGTCAAGGATCTTCAGCATGCGGGATGGGCGGTAATTATTCCGAGGGGTGGGGGGTAATGTTAGGGGAGAGGAGATGTCCAGAGGGGGGTATTGTTCTAGACCCTTCAAAAAGACGTTCAGAATGTCTCGAAGATTGTTCATAGTTCTATGCCAGGCTCACTGCAGTTGGTATAGAATAGAGCAGGGGTCTCCAAACTTTTCAGTCCGAGGGCCGCATTGACTATCAAATTTCAGTTCGGGGGCCAGTTTCTTCTAGGCATGTCTTTGGTTTTCCTGGGCAAAGTTCCTCAGCCATCACCAACAAACGGTTTTTCCGTGGACAAAAAGATCTCCGCGGGCCGGATGAGAGGACATCGCGGGCCGCATTCGGCCCGCGGGCCGTAGTTTGGAGACCCCTGGAATAGAGCATCACTTTGTCTTAACACTGCATTGAGCTCACGACTTTGTTTTAACACACACCAAAAAAACCCTCAAACTTTTGGAAACTATTTTTAATTTCACCTTAGGCTCGCGTGAGTTGTGAGTAGATGGGTTGTGTGAGCCTCTAAAAAATATTGGCTAAACCGTGTCAAGTGGCGGGGTTTTTAGCGTTCTTTTTTGTTTTGGTTTTTTTATTGGGTTTTTTAAATTTCGGTTTTCCCTGCGGTCTAAATCTGCCGGTTTTAAAATCGTGCAGTAAATAAATAATTAATATGGGTACTCTAGTCTTAGGATTACGGATAACTAGGCCACCACACCACGTAAGTGGGGTTTGAATTGAGGCTTGCTCAAACCAGACGCTATAATATATATTGTTTCATATTGTTTTCAAAGTGGTTTTTCTTATTATTATTTTTGTTTTTGCATTTTTAAAATCCTAGTGGAGCATCAGCCATTTACAAAATCCTTCCATACTTTTTCTGAACTTTGTTATCTTTTTTCTTCTAATTATTTCCAACCGTTTCTAATAAATGTCGTTTTTATTTTCTCTACGCCATGTGTTTTTTCGTCTTTCTCTTTTTATTCAACATTGTGGATTCCAAGATAAGCCTACATGTTTTCAACTTGCAATTTCCAGTATAACGTTTATGTATAGCTTTTATGTCCATATAAACTTTGTTTAGATGTTCAAACTTTCTGTTTTCTATATGTCATATGACTTTTGTATCTATATAAAATGTTAACATGTTTTCAACTTCCTATTTTCTATATGACTTTTACATCTGGATAAACTGTTTACATGTTTACAACTTGCTGTTTTCTATTTAACTTTTACATCCATGTAAACAAACAACAATCATTGATTTCCTGGAACTTGTTTGTTTGTTTGTTTGTACATGCATACGTTTGTCTAACTAGCAACGAATGTAATTAAAACAAAGATCGTAATTGCAGTCAGAATGTTTGAATCAAGATCACTTTAAAATATTTTGATTTTCCTTTCGATATTTATCCGTTTCATTGCTACATTAGCCAAAACAATGACCTATAATATATGAGCCAATTAACAATGGTTAAAACAATAATTAATTAAACATCAACCACCTTTGTGCGACTATTGGGCAGCTACATGTATGTTTCACACGCGAACAGCTAAAACACGGAGTTTAGAATTTAAACGCCGTCGTGTCATTTGTGCTCGTTCTCAGTCATTTGAACTCTGCGTTAGCTCTGCTTGCTTTAACTCCAATTCATTTAAGCTCCACATTGCCTGAATATCTAAGTTGCATCACTTGAATTAACACATAACTCACAATTCTCTGTATGTTTGTTACAGCGATCTTAGAGAATAGAGCTGGTAAGTAGGTCACCAACCAGTTCTATGGCTCATGCAGTTTTTATTGAGCCGTAGAACTGGTTGGTGACCTACTTACCAGCCCTATTGTCGATGGAAGGTTGCATTTTTCAAAATAATCCACTAACAAAACGTTTCGTTTCGGTGTCTGTCTTCATCAGACCAGTAATTGAGATGACATAAGCACTAATTATTCAAAAATATATCACCAGTATAAAATGTTCTATTTCTCACGGGACTCTACATCCATATGAATGTTTCTATGTGTACACATTGTTTCTCCTACAGAGCAGCATCAAACGTCATAGCTCCTACCATGGCCCCAACAGTTTGGCCAACAAGTTTCGTCACAACAAAGCCGTGAGACGGCCATCTGGATCTTTTACATCAGTCAGGTAAGGCTTCACTCACACAGTCCTGTCCTCTCACCTCGTCACATTCTGTTTATAGTAATTATAGTGACAGTCGAACTTTTACATCAGTCAGGTTAGGCTTCACTCACCTTGTCGTTGTCGTGTCCTCTCACATAGACCCGACCTCACCTGGTCAGATTCTATTTATAGTAGTTATAGTGACAGTCAAACTTTTACATCAGTCAGGTTAGGCTTCACTCACACAGTCGTGTCCTCTCACATAGACCCGACCTCACCTGGTCAGATTCTATTTATAGTAGTTATAGTGACAGTCGAACTTTTACATCAGTCAGGTTAGGCTTTACTCACACAGTTGTTGTCGTGTCCTCTGACGTAGATTCTATTTATAGTAATTATAGTGACACACTTTTACATCAGTCAGGTTATGTTTTACTCACACAGTCGTGTCCTCTCACGTAGTCCTCAACTTGTCACATTCTATTTATAGTAGTTATAGTGACAATGAAATCTTTATTTAACATGCATAAGCTACATGTCTTCATTGTTACCTGTTAATTAAGAATATAGTATCCCATTGGTTATAGTAATTATAGTGACAGTCAAACTCTTAATTAACATGCATAAAATACATGTCTTCATTGTTACTTGTTAATTAAGAATATAGTATTCCAATGGTTATAGTAATTATAATTAAAATTTATTTAACAACATAGGCTACATGTCTTCATAGTTATTTGTTAACAAAGAATATACTATTCCAATGGTTATAGTTATATTAGTGACAGTCAAACTTTTATATAACATGCATAAGCTACATGTCTTCATTGTTACTTGTTAATGAAGAATATAGTATTCCTTTGATTATATTAGAATTACTTTTAATATTTATTATTTTGCACCAGGCTTTTATTTCTTGGCTTTAACTGTTCGATTCGTAAATGTAATAATACCAAGCCTATGTTTACACTTTTTCTTTTACAACTAAAGGATTAATTTAGTTTGACTAATTGTGTTATTGTCTTATACACGAAGTCGGCTATCTATTCATATTCCTATCATTAGCCCCTCCCCTTCCCCGAATGTCTTGACACCCTTCTCAAGGCTACACCTCTTTACCGTATTCAACATATAGTGATTCCATCTTACATCCACCAAGATTCCTCATAACGACCAAGTACTTTGCATTAGAGAACAGTAAGTGTGAAATGGTAATTCCCAAAGTGAGACTATGTTTGTGATAATAGACCGCTTCAACTTCATAGATCCATTTCAAGCAGTGGCGTAGCGAGGTCGGGTGTCACCCGGTGCGGCACTTAATGGTGTCACCCCCCCAGAGGCGTAGCGACCCTTCCCGGGGACACATTTTCGATTTGCACCCCCCCCCCCTCAAACTTTCTATTTGCACCCCCCTCAAACTTTCGATTTGCACCCCCCCCCCTCAAACTTATCTCTATATATTTTGCTATTTTTAGCCTTGGTGTCACCCCCTAAATGGTGTCATCCGATGCGGTCCGCACCCCCCCCCCGTTCCCCCCTCGCTACGCCTCTGATTTCAAGTGGGATACGTACATTCCAGTGAAATAAAAACGCAATATTTAGTTGCTAAAGAGCCGTGTAAAACGGAAATACCCACTGAAAGAATATGCTGGTAATGGAACGTGTGAAACGGAAATTCCCACTGGTAGACTGTTGGTAATGGAAAGTGTGAATCGGAAATACCCACTGAAAGAACATTTTGCTAATGGAACGTGTGACAACGGATATTCCCCAAATAAGCCAGCTAGCCACAAACAAGTGTTAATCGTTAACAACTAGACGCGAACAAGCCGTGGTCCCAAGAGCGCCGGTACTCATGTTATCTGCGGCTGGATAGTCTGGCAGTCCTGACGTCAAACGTATCTGTCCAGATACCCTGGCCTGAGATACTGGGGCGAATACAACGTGGAGGGTATCTGCTCATCCCCGAGGTCCCTCCCTCCCCACTTTTACCTCGGTCCTGCCCTACTGGTCAGTTACCAACGTTAAGCCGTTATGGTTCTAATGGGCTCTGTGTTTGTTTACCGTGTGTTGGGCGTAGTCGCGTATTCATGCTTTTCTGTAAGTCGTACACATAATATTAGCTATATCAGCGTTTTGAGCATATGGGTACGTCTAACCGAAAACTAACAGCTTAATATTAAACATGGCTCGAGTCTTTTTGACGTTCCTGATGCCACCCAACTCTTAGAGGTGCCTGACTCACTTTACGGATCTCGGTTAGGACTTGTGACCGTAGGACGTCATTGAGACCACCCAGCTCTGATGGGTACCTGGCTCACTTTATGGAAACTGTAGCGGATGGGCATAGCGCTGACCACACATGTATGCCGAGGTCATTTAAACAGATTATCTCTACTTCATCTACCCCATGTGTCTAGCACACGAACGGGAAAACATATCGAATATTAAACCATAAAAACCCAGCATGCTACAAAAATGTTGTTTTCCACTGACTTAAAATGTAAGCGGACCAGTAAAGTATTCTATCGAGACACTTGAGTGTGATGTGGCTGTTTACCCCAACTTCAATTCTTTACTCCAACTCTACCTTCTTCTCCCTCGTCTCCACCTCCCCCTAACATACTACTTTGCTGACACCTCACCCCTTCCCTCACTCACCCTCACCCCTACCTCCCCCACCCGCTCCAAGACTGGATTAAATAACACCGCTTGTTTATTGTTACACATGGAAAAGAAGGAAGTTATACTCAACACTGGTCTGTCAGTTACTACCCCCCTCCCTCCCCACCCATCGTTATTTCTACAAGCAAACTCTCTGTTTTTTTGTACACATCGCATTATTTGTTAGAAGGGAAAATCTCTACTTTCACCCAACTTGCTATTCCTACAAGCAAAGTCTCTGTTTCACAAAACACATGAATTCCTACAAGCAAATTCTTTTTTCACAAAACACATGTATTTATACAATCTCTGTTTTCACAAAACACATGTGTTTATACAATCTCGGTTTTCACAAAACACATGTTATTCCTACAAGCAAAGTCTCTGTTTTCACACATTTACATTTAGACTTGATTGTAAAACCACTGTTTCCACATAACACATTTATTCCCACAATCAGAATCTCTGTTTCCTGTCACGTGATTATCTCGGTGAGTGTGACGTGTGGGCGTGACGTAGGCAGCACGTGAACACAAGGGGTGGTTTTTGTCTTATATCGTGTAGTTGTTTGTTGTGCTCCATTTGAAGACTGCTTATACGCCATGCGGTACTGACAAGGTTTTGGGTCATGTATGAAGACTTCGTTAGTGTCAGTGTTTTGGTCAGGTGTGAAGACTACGTTAGTGTTAGGGTTTGAGTCAGGTATGAAGACTACGTTAGTGTCAGGGTTTGAAAGAAAGAACGAGAAGTACTTAACACTTCCATTCCGGCTCAAGACTGCCCTAAATAGCGTGATCTTTTGTAATGGTTAAGGACGCGCTTTAAGGGATTTATTAAAGGCCGAAGGTGCTTACATGTCATAGATTTGGTCATCTTTGAAGGCTGATCACAAATTATCGTCACGTTTTTGGTCATGGTCGAAGTACGATTGAACAAATGTCGGCAATCGTATCGTCACTACATATCTGTTTGCTGCACACGATGAAAGTTGTTTTTTTTTTGTGTTAACTTGTACCGTATGTTCTAACCTGAGGTGGTTATTCTTTGTTAACGTTTATTCTATGTTCTATCGTGGATACTGCTGTTCTTTATTAACTTTTTCTCTATGTTCTAACCTGATACTGTAGTTCTTTGTTAACATTTATCGATGCTCTAAATAGGATGCTGTTCTTATTACAGCGTGAGCTACGGTTTCCGTGTTGTTCATTTTAAAAGTTGCCCCTCCCCATTACAACCTCCATCAAAAAACTTCATAGCGTATAATTATAAAACCACAGTGTCGCCTGATGATTTGACCTTCCTGCTTCAATTAAAAAGTGGATCGCATGAAACTTGAACCAAAGGTTCTCAAACTGGTTACTCTCTGGTGTCATGTTAAAACTGTAGGCCATAGTCCATAATAAAGTAAATTAAAAGTTAAAAAATCACGATACAAACAATACAAGATGGAATCAACAAGTATTTAAGACATCTTTAACTAACGTGATAAATCTTTAACTACGGATGAACCATTTGTTGTGAGGTTTTTTTTTTAATTCGCTGTACACGGCACTATCAATACAAAAAAATGGGATTTTATTTTCATTATCCTATTAAAAACCGATCTCCCCCCCCCCTTATGAACATCAACATAATAATTTTTACTACAACGCTAGAACTTTGTATTTCTTTTAAAGCCTGTAGATATCAATTAAAAATTTATAAGTTATGTAGAGGTGTTTTAACACCCATCCACCTCTCCTTTAAAATCCCAGGATTTGACAAATCCTAGCAGTTTGTTATATTTTTAGACACTTTTACATGCCTGTTTTATTTCTGTCGTCGCTGAAACACACAACTATAAGGAAGTGTGTTCACTGTTGACATAATGGGTGGCGGTTTTTAGAACGGTCGTTTTGTTTTGTTGTTACATTTTTGTTTAAAGTCACGCAAAAAGTAACGGAGAATCGTCACCATAAGAAATCACGTAACGGTATCCGAAGAGAATTGGTTTGACGGTTGTTCGATCGTTTACAGAATATCGATCGGTTTAATGCAAGCAGTTCTTTTTCTAACATTAGAAGTCTTGTTCGACGCACGCTAGTTTTAATAAAAATATGAAGCAATAAATAGTTTCTGTGGTTTTACTCGGTTAAGTTGGTACTTTAATTAAATAACTATTTATTTATTTCTTTTAAAAAGGCAATAGTCGTCTTATTTAATAAGATAAAATGTTTAAATTTTAATTAAAAACGTGATGACGAATTAATCCACCAGAACGATTTGTTATGAAAACTTTTTGATTACGAAGGCCAATTATTTGCTATTTTTTTCTCTTTAAGTCTACAACATGTTTCGATTATTGGGCTGTAGATTCAATT